TCGCAGGGCAACACAGAGACACACAGGACAAACAATCATGCACACACACACCTAGGGACAATTTAGACAGACCAATTAACCTAACAGTCATGTTTTTGGACTGTGGGAGGAAGTACCCGGAGAGAACCCACGCATGCACAGGGAGAACATGCAATCTCCATGCAGGAAGATCCCAGGACCTTCTTGCTGCAAGGCAACAGCTCTAACCACTGCGCCACTGCGCAGCCACTTTTTGAATACGTCTTTACTAAAGCAAAAAACATCACCCCTGTTTGCTGTACCAAACAGAAACATGATGCATATACCTCACCGCATACCTGATCATATTTCTGAATGCATTTCTTCCAACCCAACACAAGAAGAAGAAGAAGAAGAAATCATTTCTATAGCGCCTCTCAAGATAAAAATCATGAGGCGCTTCACAAAAACAAAAAAATGTTAAAATATAAAAAAGCATTTAGAAAATGTTTAAAAATATATTTAAAATGAGCAAAAATAGACAATTGTGATTAAAACATGTTAAGAAAGAGAGAGAGTGAACAGGAAAGAGGGAAACCAGTGGATCCTGAGGAAGGTGGAATAGGTGGGGAGAGCAGAATAAAGAGAGAGTGGTGAAGAAGGTCATACAAAAGCCAGCTTGAACAAGTGAGTCTTCAGCTGCTTTTTAAAGGAGACCACTGAGTCCACTGATCTCAGGCTCAGGGGGAGAGAGTTCCAGAGTCTGGGGGCCACAGCAGCAAATGATCTGTCACCTTTGACCTTTAGCCTGGTGCTGCACAACCAGTAGGCTATGATCACTGGACCTCAGGGACCTGCTGGGGGTGTAGGGACTAAGAAGATCACCAATGTAAGATGGTGCTTGTCCATGTAAGGCCCTATAGACCAGAACCAGGATCTTGAAATGAACCCTGAAGTTAGTCTCTGACTTTGAGAACCAGCTTGTCTGGGGCACAGATGAGGATCTCAGTCTTATCTTCATTCAGCTGTAGAAAGCTCCCACCATCCAGGTTTTGATAGAGTAAGCAGGTGTGTAACAGCTGCAGCTTAGACGTCTCATGGGGCTTAAAGGAGATGTACAGTTGGATGTCATCTGCATAAAGATGGTAGGAGATTCCTTTGAAGGAGCTCAGGATGTGCTGAAGAGGAAGCAGATAGAGGAGGAAGAGCATAGGCCCCAGCACAGAACCTTGTGGGACACCATGGGTAAGGGAGGTGGTGGAGGACCTAAACTTGGAGACGGCCACAGAAAAAGAGCGCTCAGAGAGATAAGAGGAGAACCACTCCAGAGCAGATCCTGATAGGCCTACCCAGTCTCTCAGCCTCTCCAGTAGCAGGTGATGGTCAACAGTGTCAAAGGCTGCAGTCAGGTCCAGCAGGACCAGAACAGAACAGTCCCCTGCATCACTGTGGGTCAGAAGGTCATTAGAGACCCTAAGAAGAGCTGTTTCAGTAGAATGAGCTCTACGAAAACCTGACTGGAAGCTATCATAGACGTTATGTTCATCAAGAGCAGCTGTGAGTTGTTTAGCCACAACCTTTTCCAAGATCTTGGAGATGAACGGAAGTTTAGAGATGGGTCTGAAGCTGCTATGGAGAGAGGGGTCGAGACTCGGTTTTTTAAGAAGCAGGTGTATTACAGCATTCTTAAAGTAAGCAGGGACCTGACCAGAAACCAGAGAATCATTAATTATAGAGAGCACGCTGGGACCGATGGACTGAAAAGCACTTTTAAACAAAGATGAGGGTAAGATGTGGAGGGGGCATGCAGAGGTCTTCATAGAGTTAACTAGTTTGGTTAACTCAGGCAAAGAAACAGGAGCAAAGCTATCTAGGATGACGGGCCTGGTTGGAGTCGGGAGAGGCAGTGATAAGGCTGAAGGAGAGATGCTAGATCTAACCATATTGACTTTGTCCACAAAGAAAGACAGAAAGTTCTCACAGTCTGCAACAGAGTGGATGGAGGCTGTAGGAGAGGCAGGAGAGACGATGCTGCTGATGGTGTTAACAGCACCTTGGGGTTCCCTTTGCTCTGGGACAGCAGGTTGGAGAAATAGGAAACCCTAGCGTGTCTGACTGCAGAGTTAAAGGATGTCAGAAGGTCCTTTAGGTGCAGCAGATGGACGTGGAGATGGGTTTTCTTCCACAAACGCTCAATTTTTCTGCAGTGGCGCTTCAGGCTGCGAAGGCTGTCATTAAACCAGGGAGTAGGGTTCACTGCAGGAACTGATCTGGTTCTGACAGGACAGATGTTGTCCAGAATGGAGAGGCAGTGCTCGTTAAACTGAGAAGTTAAGGAATCTGGGTCGTTATCAGAAGAACAGGGTGGATCAAAAGCAGCAGAAAAATTGCTAGCTGTGCTCTCATTAAAAAAACGAGACCTAACCATACGGCGAGCAGGAGGTGGGGACGCAGAAACTGATAAGGTAAAGAAAATGCAATGGTGATCTGAAATATAAACATCCTCAGGACAAACACTGTCAGCATTTAGACTCAGGGTAAAAACAAGGTCTAGAGTGTGCCCCCTGGTGTGTGTGGGGCCAGAAACATGCTGGGTAAAGCTGAAGGAGTCCATAAAACCGGAGAAATTCATGGCAAAGTGATCGGAGGGATCATCAACGTGGATGTGAAAGTCACCAACAATCACCAGTCTGGACAGCTTCACAGTGGAGAATAGAAAATCACTAAACTCCTGAAGCAAAGAGCTGTTTGGACCAGGTGGACGATAGACCACAGCACAGTAGAACGGGTCCTTACGCCCGACTTTAATCAGCTGCAGTTCAGAGGAAGCAAAGTGACCAGAGGTTGTAGAGCTACATGGAAGATGGTCTCTGAAAACAACAGCTAGGCCTCCACCACGACCAGAACCCCGGAGCTGGCTAAGAAAAGAATAACCACTCGGGCAGAGTTCAATCAGAGCAGAATAATCAGATGTTTGCTGCCAAACTTCAGTCAGAAACAGAAAATCCAGGTTTTTAGAGAGAATTAGATCACTGAGCAGGAAGGTCTTATTGTTAACAGAGCAGGTATTTAATAGAGCCATGCTGAGTGAGGTGGAGGAATCAGAAACTACAGAAACAGCTGGAGTTAGAGGACGTAAATTAGCAGGGTTAGATCCACGGTGTTTATAAAAACCACTTATGGAGGGAACAGGAGAAGAAACCACTGAGGAATGAGGATAAAGATGCATTCATAATTTGTACATGAATGAAAAACAATGAAACATGATTTTAACACAATATTTATTACCTTCAAACATAAAACCCAAATGTTTCATTCTTTTTTACAGTGCAGCCCTCTTATTTAATGTAAAATGATGAAAATTGTTGATAAAAAGTTGTTTTTCTGACTAAATTGACACATTTCTGCAGGAATTTCTGTGCTTTGTGAAAGTTGTCCTGAGGACACCTAAATCATTAATGCCCTCTGTGGGACGTTGGTAATAGACCTGCCACCAACAGGCTGCTCTGCTCTTTGCATCAGGCTACACACTCAGTGACCACAACCCTCCTAATCTGCTGTCTGTGAGTCATTACTGTCCAAACGGAGCTCCAGGCCGCCACGTCTACTTCTGTAACCTTTCAGCTGATGAGTCACGGTGTGTTGCTCTGTGTCAGGCTATCCCTTTGGTAATTAAAAAGTCTTTATTGATTTTCTTTGGAAATATGGAAACAGACAATAGATACTTTCTCAATAATTTAAGAAGCGGAACAGTTCAAAGGGGGAGTAACACCATGGGTGGAGACTTACCGTAATTCCCAGTCTATAGAGTGCACCTCAATATAAGCCGCACCGGGCTAAAAGTCGCAGATATCTACTGAATTGAAAACGTAGTTTAACTGAACGTAACTGAACCGATCAGTATCAAACAAAACAGAAACGGTATTGATTAGTTTATTCATCGTCCTCCTGCGCTCTGAAACCACTGAAGTCCTCTTCTTCAGTGTCGGAGTTGAACAGCCTCAGAAGAGCTTCGTCACATACCTTTTCTGTGGCGATGTCAGTGTCGCTTTCCGTGTTGCTGTCATCATCCCCGGGTGAAGCTGGGAAAACAAGCAGCGCCGTTTTAATGTGAAAAAATCCTCCTGGGTGCTTTCCGTAGCGCTCCTTTAACCATTCCTTCATTAGACTTTCCAGCATCCATCCTTTCTGGTTGACTAAAGCCGCACCTCATTATAAGCCGCATGGTTCAAAGCGTGGGAAAAAGTAGCGGCTTATAGTCCAGAAAATACGGTACTTCAACCAGACTTCCTGTTAGAAAAACACCTGGAAAAAAGGCGTTGTCTGGAGGACCGAGAGCGGCACTGAGGCAATGATTGATATCACCCCCCTCAACCCCCCGCATGTGCTCTCGAAGTTTCTCAGTCAGAAAAAGAGTTGTTAACATTGCTGTTTGTTGATTCCAGCAACATAAACAAAAATACAGATTCTGTGCCTGCCACGTGAAACAGTAGATTTAGTTTGTCTCTGTTTCACATTTCATTCAAAATAATGAAATATTTCGATAAATACTAAATAATGCTAAATAATAGCTCACGATGAATGATATTAGCATCACGGCTAGCCGGCTGTCGTAAGAAGTGTGTTGTGCAGTAGTCTGGATGTTGGCACGTCTGTGAGAAGTGACGGGTGAGGCACCGAAGTGTCCTCGCTGCTTTTAAAACATCCATCCACCGCTGATGTGCCGCCATTTTAAACAAGCGAAACAGCAAACGTGTGAACAAGCAACCATAAACAACACAGCAAGCAGAAGTAAAAAAAAGATGTCTTCTGCAATGAATCATGGGTAATGGTGTGAAGCCGAGAATACCGTTGATATTTTGAGTAAGTTGCATAAAACTGCCAAAATAATGATTACACATGTTAACAACTCTATCAGACACTCATCTATACAGTACAGGTTATCAGCCAAAAAAAAGCTGATTTAGATGTTACTCAGAATCAAACAGATAGTGTAAAGCCTTTGCTCCACCTGTTAACAGCTGTGTTTTTCTCTTTTGCAGGTGAACCTGAGTTTAAATACATCGCCAACATGCACGGCAACGAGGCGGTAGGCAGAGAGCTGCTCATCAACCTTGCCCAGTACCTCTGCAACCAGTATCAGCAAGAGAATGAGACCATCATCGATCTCATCCACAACACCCGCATCCACATCATGCCCTCCATGAACCCCGATGGCTTTGAGAAGGCAGCCTCACAGGTGACACCAAAAACCCAAATAACGAGTTTGTTACGACTTTCTCAGCGTGCGTTTCCTCTAACGTTTCTGTTGTTTTCTGACAAGCCCGGAGAAATCAAGGACTGGTTTGTGGGCCGCAGTAACGCACAGGGGGTGGATCTGAACCGTAACTTCCCCGATCTGGACCGTATCATCTATATCAACGAGCGGGAGGGTGGAGCCAACAACCACCTGCTGCAGAACATGAAGAAAGCCGTGGATGAAAATACTAAGGCATGCTAACAGTTCGTGTGATTTCATAAAACAGCTGGTGAATGTTGAGTATTGCTATGGGATCATCAAGGAGGTTAATGGAAAATGGGAGGCAGGGCCTTTGTGTTCTTTTTGCTCAGCAGAGGTTTCAGCCATTTTTGCCATACTGACTCTTTCTCAGGGTGGAATTATGAACACTGATCTTAATGTTTTCCTGTTTTTATCTTGAATGTCTTTAGAACGCAGGGCATTATGCTTTACTTTTTGAGATCTTTTAGCCTAAGTCAGACAGATTTTATAGAAGTGATTTTGTTTTACCTCTGACCTAATAATCACACCTGGGTGTATTTAGGGAAATTGAACTCAGTTTCCCCATTGATGTAGTTAACCACTAGCCTACAAATCTTGTCAGACCGCGGCAGTAGCAAAATATTTTGCTCTGCAAGTCAGTCTATCCACGCTCCATTGTAGCCTCAGCAGGTCTTCCATTGGCCCAAATGGTTTTGGGTCTATGGTAAATGGCCTAGCACCTTCTTAGGGTTCTACAACCCCCCAAGGTGCTTCACAACACAATCGGTCAATCACCCACACATTCACACGCTGGTGGGGATGAGCTGCGATGTAGCCACAGCTGCCCTGGGGCACTGACAAAGGCGAGGCCTGCCGAACACTGGCGCCACTGGTCCCTCAAACCACCACCAGCAGGCAAGGTGGTCTTGGCCAAGGACACAACAGCAGCATTCTCTGGTCGGAGCCGGGATCGAACCTGCAACCTTCCAATTACTGGACAACCTGCCCTACCTCCTGAGTTACTGCTGTCCCCTTTTTAGCCAGTTACAGAGCTCTAGGTTTGTTGGACAGGCTTAACTCTAGAGCTGCAACAGAGAAAAACTACAAAGATGGTATTGGGTCATGAACAGTGCTCAAAATGGCACCAACTTTGAACAATTTAGACTTGGGTTTTTCTTTGAGACATGAGCAGATAGAGACTTAAATCTTTTAACCTATAAAAGGATGTATTTGCTTCTGCATCTACGTCAGTGTAAGGCTTGACTTATTTCTGTAGCAATGAATACGGTTCATTGCTTTTTGCTGATTGGTCATAGCTTTGTCCAATTTTGTATGCAAACACTTAAAGAGCAAGTCACCCCCTACAATTTACTAACTCCACTCCCACTTCATGTTTGAAAAATGCAATAAATGCTGTTGCCTGGCAGACCGAGAGGGTGGAGCCGCTAACAAATACACACACACTCAGGCTCACAATGGCATTGTGACGACATAATGTACCAGCTAACATCATAGCATACCTCTTAGCCAATAGCGGTGGCAGATTTAAATTAAAATGCAGTGCAGAATTTTTCCCTGACGACGGTGCAACACTGCCAGTTTTAGGCAGAATATTTAAATTTTAACTAAGATGCACTGAAGTGCCAAATTATTGACGACACGTGTCTGCAGCACAATTGGACACTCGTTTATATAGTTTATCAGCAAAAAAAAAGTTGATTTGGGGGTGACTTGCTCTTTAAAAAGTCAACCTTAGATTCTTTCCGAGAACCAAGCTCCGTCTAAGGGTGCACATAAAGGATAGCTAGCCAGGCTGGTTGATCACGTGATTTAACAAGAGGGTGATTTATTTTTCACACAGGACCAGGTTGGTTTGGATCACTTTTATCTGCAAATCAACAAAATCATCATTAGAGAACCTTTTCTATTTACTCGGGTTGCTGTTTGTGATGTTTCCTGATCTGTAGCATCCAAGTATTTAGCAGAAACAGAAGAGAGAAATTAGTCACCAATGATTGAGTTTGTTTCTCATGAATGAAAAGATTATTTTTGCATAAATTCAAACTCATAGTACATTTGTTAGCAAAAGCACTGTTCCAGGTCTTTTTAAACATAAAAGATAGATTTCTGTCTGTTGCCTATCTTTTTAATTGTCATTCTTATCAGTAACACTATTGCATACAGAGATAGCCCTGTGTGAATATTTTAGATAAATACATTCTCTATTTTTTTCGTCTCAGTAAATGCAAAATGTTTTTAATGGTTCTCAACATTATTTTTATTTTTTTTGGTAGCTGGCTCCTGAGACTAAGGCTGTGATCCACTGGATCATGGACATCCCCTTTGTCCTCTCAGCAAACCTTCATGGAGGAGATGTTGTAGCCAACTATCCATACGATGAAACCCGCACCGGTAAAACACTAAACACATTCTAGGAGGAGCTGTGATAACTTTCTTTTATTACTTGGCTATTTTGGTGAAAGTAAAGGAACAACTATTTAAGGTGTGACTGAAACAAACTTTTTATTAGTTTTGTTTCCAGAATTCCTTCCAATGTAAACTCAAACCAGGTGGATAACATGTTTCATTTTAATCAGAAGCAGCTGGAGGTGTGCTGTTATCTAAAACACGTCCTGCTTTTGTTTCACTCCTCATCTGTTTTCATTATTTAAGGATCTACTCATGAATACAGCGCCAGCCCTGACGACGAGATGTTCAAGTCCCTGGCCCGAGCTTTCTCCATGTACAACCCTGTCATGTCCGACCCTCACCGACCTCCCTGCCGCAAAAACGATGACGATTCCAGTTTCAAGGATGGCATCACTAATGGGGGAGCCTGGTACAGTGTGCCGGGAGGTAAGAGACAACCTATTCTAGTAAAGATACTCATGTATTTCCAGTCTAATGAAGGTTTCTTTTGAAATGTGGCATTGCAGATGAAAAGTTACTTTGTTTAACGTCATGTTAGATTTGGTGACTTTTAGTGGTTCGATTAAAAACCAAACACACATTTGGGACTTTTCAAAATGAATCAGTTCAGGGAGCCAGCTTTCCAGGAGTGATATTAGAGTCTCTGGGTGGAAATTTACTGTTTAATGAGAGATAGCTGGTGAAAATGATGTGTAAACAAATCAGAATGCATATAGGCACAAACAATTAAGAGAAACTGACACATTTATATGGTGCTGCATCTGCAGTGATGCGGGCGTTGTGCCGGTCTGTCGTGGTGAAGAGATGGCTGAGCCGGAAGGTCGATCTACGTTTCTACCCTCACCTATGGTCACGAGCTTTGGGTAGTGGCAGAGAGAATGAGAACGCAGATACAAGCGGCCAAAATGAGTTTTCTCTGGGGTGGCTGGGCCTTAGAGATAGAATGAGAAGCTTGGTCATCTGGGAGGGGCTCAGAGTAGATTTGCTGCTCCTCCACATTGAGAAAAGCCAGTTGAGGTAGCTCGGGCATCTAGTTAGGATGCCTCCTAGACGTCTTCATGCTGAGGTTTTCTGGGCATGTACAACCGGGAGGAGACCCAGGACACGCTGGAGGGACTATGTCTTCCAGCTGGCCAGGGAATGCCTTAGGATCCACCCAGAGGAGCTGGCCCAAATAGCTGGGGAGAGGGAAATCTGGGTCTCCCTGCTTAGGGTCTCCCTGTTCCCGAGACCCAATAACAGAAAAGCAGCTGAAAATGGATGGATGACACATTTATATATAAATAGTTGTTTTCTTTATGTTTAACTTTTTCTCCCTTCACATCGGGGAGGGCGGTGCCCCTATGAACGAGTGACCCCAATGATTCTGTCATTGTTATTTTTTCAGTCTCTCTGCCTCTAACATCAGTTTCTTTATTGCATGCTGTCTCATCTCATGCAGGGATGCAAGATTTTAACTATCTCAGCAGCAACTGTTTTGAGATCACTCTGGAGCTCAGCTGTGACAAGTTTCCCAACGAAGACACTCTCAAGACCTACTGGCAGCAGAACCGCGACTCCCTTGTCAACTACATCGAGCAGGTTGGCAGCACTCTGCCATCAAAACTATTAAATTATGGATGGAAAGGAAAATTCCTGACTCGTGACTCTACACGCTATTGTACCTGCACCTGCCAGACTAATCTCACCAGTTTTTCTTCTGCTTAACATGATCTGACCAATGAGCACATCGATTTACAAATGGAAGAGAGATATTGAGATATAGAGAGCTTTTAAAATCCTAAAACGAGCAGAAAACATTTAACACTCAGCAGAACATTTAGATTACACACTTTATTAATAAAATAATAATAAATATTAATAAAGTATCCTTGATTGATTATTTTGTCCATGTGTGTTTGGTGCAGGTTCACCGTGGCGTTAAGGGCTTTGTGCGTGACCTACAGGGCAACCCCATTTCTAACGCAACCATCTCAGTGGAGGGCATCGACCACGACATCACCACGGGTATCAGCATTTGATGAAAACTCACACCACCTGTGTTATTTCAAACATTTCAATGCTAAAGGAAGTAGAATGGTAAAATGCTGCGACGCTGCCATCTCATGGACATAGTTAGTAATACATTTTCTGCAAGTGTCTTTTTTGTTTGTTTAAATGAGTTTAAATAAACAGAGGTTGATTTAAACGTGACTTGATACTTGATAACCATTTATTAAGGCAAAATCTGCATTTTATAGCCAAAGATGGAGACTACTGGCGCCTTCTGGCTCCAGGAAACTACAAAGTGGCAGCTTCTGCTCCAGGATACCTGACTGTCATCAAGAAGGTGGCTGTTCCCTACAGCCCTGCAACAAGGGTAAGGCACACTAAATAAATAAATAAATAAATAAACAAAAACTTGCTTCCACTGTTGTGCAGAAACCTTCTCCTCCAGAATCTCAATTTTAAACCTACAGCAAATTTAAATTGTGGCACAAAAAGTTTGTTTTAATGCAATTAAATAAAAAAGACACAGCAAATGTTAAAAATACTAGTTTAAACGTGGATCTGTCCTCGTTTATGCTCCCTTATTAAGCCTCCCTTCTAGTGTTACTGTTTAGGATTTTTGATTTTCAGAGACTGGAAGTGAGGAAGAAGGGTCTCTGAAACCTAAATTTAGGTAGAAGGTGACCTAAATTGTGTGACAAAATTACAATCCTCTTCTAATTATTGAGTATTTAGTGAGCATCTTAAGTACAAGTGAAACTTAAACAATTGGAATATGATGCAAAAGTTAATTTACGTCAGTAATTTAACTTAAAAGGTGAAACTAATGTTTGAAACAGACTTATTACATGCTGTCAGGGACCGAGCAGTAAAACTCCAGGACAATGGTATAAAAAGAATATCTTCTCCATTTATTTCATAAAGAATTAAACAAAATCAAAACAAAAAACCAGGCCCAAAGGAAAAAATGGCCACAAAAATAGCCTTAACTAAAAGTAAAAAGCAAGACTCTCTCAAACTGAGACACAGGGGAATTTATACACACAGGCTAGCCTACGGACAACGAGGAGGGGAGAGACAGGGGAAACACTAAGACAAACAGTAAATAAACCTAGGAAACTAAGTCAACAAAGTATAACTACCACAAAAAAGTTTAACTAATACATTGTAACAAAATCTGGTAAACTCAATAGAGCTTCAGAACGTCTGGTTTCTGGTTTCTTCATTATCAAGCTCCCTGCTTCCAGCAGCCAGATGGAATGTTCCACTTCCTGCATGGAGTTACACTGGGCGTGTCCCCTCTCTCTGCCAGTTCATCCAATCTCAGAATACAAATGAAAATAGTTAATGATCAAAAAAACTATGTGTAAGATAAATTACTAAATGTGTGCACCCATTAGTAAGCATCATACAATATTGCCAAAATGAAATAATAAACCAGCATATAGAAAAAGATATTTAAATAATACTAACACTGAGAAATGGCTGGAGGAACCTCCACACATGCAAAACCAGATATTTCAGTCTCGATGTGTTATAATTGCGATGCATACGGTTTACAGCTTATGAAAACTAATTGTAAAATCTCAGACAATTGTGAAAAGGTTCAGTATTCTAGACTCAAACTCTAATCCAGAACTCCTGCAAAGGGTTCTTGAGCCTTTAGATGGTCTCTCAGTCTGAGCTGAATTACTGAAATAAATAGATTTTTACATCACATTCTAATTTTTCCTCTAATAGAAAATCAGTCAGGTTAAACAATGTTTGAGTGAGGTTTCAGATGTTTATTTTTATTATTATTTTTTTTGCAGAATCCAAAATGTTATTAAAACAAACACGTTGTCTTTAACAATTAGTCATTTAAACTTTAATAGATTTTTAAAAGTTGTGAAATTAATATTAAATAAATTCCAATGACATTTTCTCGCCTTTTAATGATCTCAGTTTTGAACCTAATGAGGCCCTGATACCACCGTGTCATGTTTTAAAGACAATTACCAGTTTTATAATTTTACTTCCACGTGAAATAAATAATATTTTGTGAAAGATATTTTTTATGAATCTGTTTACTAAATGAACACGTCTGTACTGCTGTTTTCTCACCTCACACACTCTTCTCTCTCAGGTGGATTTTGAGCTGGAGTCCCTGATGGAGAGAAAGGAGGAGGAGCGAGAGGAGCTGATGGACTGGTGGAAAATGATGTCAGAGACACTGAACTTCTGAAGCGTTTCCTTTTTTTGTCTCGTTGATGTCCGGCGCCTCCACACATCCATGTAATTTATTCATTTTGTTTGTGCGTGCGTGTGTTCGTCCACACTAAACAGAAAGCTTTGATTCTTTTTGGTTTTCTTCCTACTGCTAATCGAATCGGTTATTCTGTTTTGCTTATAACTCCCGTTGCTTGTTAGAAATCCTGCACACGTAAAAAAAAAGGGAGGATATCAGCAGGGTGCCTGGTGGCAGTCAGAATGGTGTAATTATTGTGTTCTTTACTGTACATGTGACATATAACCAATGAATGACTGAGTAATTATGTAGAAAAGCCGCTTACATTATTATATCATAGCTCTGTCGATAAAAACTCACCTCTCTTCCCATTTTTCGATGTCTCTGTTTCTCCAGATTTTAGTGCAAAAATAAAAATGACACCATCACACACAAAGAAAGTCCAATTCCCATCGACTGTAAACAGTCTGACAATTATTCACGATGTCTCAACTTTGTAAAATATACACGACATAACAACACTGGTTCTATGGAGAAAATAAGGGACGTTATAAAGCACTGTACTCAAACGTTAAGACTCATTTCCCTGTATGTTATTGATGCTAAGCTTTTTTTTTAATGCATCAAAGCTTTGATCATGGCACAACGTTGATGGTTATAATATAAACTGTATTTATGACTAGTATAGCACAAAAAGCTGTGTTTTTATTACTAAAGTTACATTAAATATATTAACAATTAATTACATTTCTTCATGTTGATTTACTCAAAGCCATGTCTTTGTATGTGCACTACAGGGGCTACTGTAGTCCCCGGACAGATATATTATTGTAACATTAATCTGATGCGGTTGTGACAATTATTTGGCTGTTTGGATGCAGTTCTCAGATATTTGAAACTACAGATGAGATTTATTGAATGTAAAGCTTTAAAGAATAAGTGTGAAACAAAGTTTGACCTGATAAATAAAAATCCCCTTTATGTTGTCAAACTGTTTTTTGTCTTTGTTTTCACTCATTCAGAGAAAACTAGAAGCCTTAACAAGAGGTTATACACACCGCCGCTTCCTGATGAAACTTTTGTAAGTTTTCACAGAACTTTTAAAGTGGATTTTTGTGGAATTGCTAATTCATATCATACCTGTGGTATAGAAAGTTTTATGAACAGACTCATTTTGGAGTAGCCAAATAGATGGCTAGTGTGAGCTAAAAAAACCTTCATTTTGAATAAACAGTATTTCATAAAACTTTATGACTTCATGAATTTCAAATTTTATGGTTGGTAATTAAAAGTTTGCAGCAGCATTATTTGTTGCATCCCTTCAGGTTTGAAATGTGTCATAATTCTGTAAGTAAGTGGGGGAGTAAGTAAGTAAGTTAGTAAGTAAGTGAGTAAGTAGGTAAGTTAGTAAGTAAGTAAGTAAGTAAGTAAGTAATTAAGTGAATAAGTAAGTAAGTTAGTAAGTAAGTGAATAAGTAAGTTAGTAAGTAAGTGAATAAGTTAGTAAGTAAGTGAATAAGTAAGTAAGTTAGTAAGTAAGTGAATAAGTTAGTAAGTAAGTGAATAAGTAAGTAAGTAATTAAGTGAATAAGTAAGTAAGTTAGTAAGTAAGTGAATAAGTAAGTAAGTTTGTAAGTAAGTGAATAAGTAAGTTAGTAAGTGAGTGAATAAGTAAGTAAGTTAGTAAGTAAGTGAATAAGTAAGTTAGTTAGTAAGTAAGTGAATAAGTAAGTAAGTTAGTAAGTAAGTGAATAAGTAAGTAAGTAAGTTAGTAAGTGAATAAGTAAGTAAGTAATTAAGTGAATAAGTAAGTAAGTAAGTTAGTAAGTAAGTAAGTAAGTGAATAAGTAAGTAGGTAAGTTAGTAAGTAAGTGAGTAAGTAGGTAAGTTAGTAAGTAAGTGAATAAGTAAGTAAGTAAGTAAGTAATTAAGTGAATAAGTAAGTACGTTAGTAAGTAAGTGAATAAGTAAGTAAGTAAGTGAATAAGTAAGTAAGTTAGTAAGTAAGTGAATAAGTAAGTAAGTGAGTAAGTAAGTAAGCCAGTAAGTAAGTAAGTAAGTAAGTAAGTTAGTAAGTAAGTGAATAAGTAAGTAAGTAAGTAAGTAAGTGAGTAAGTAGGTAAGTTAGTAAGTGAATAAGTAAGTGAGTAAATAGGTAAGTTAGTAAATAAGTAAGTAAGTAGGAAGGTAATTATGTAGGTAAGTACATAAGTGCGTAAGTAGGTAAGTTAGTAAGTAAGTGAATAAGTAAGTAAGTAAGTAAGTAAGTAAGTAAGTAAGTAAGTGAATAAGTAAGTAAGTAAGTAAGTAAGTTAGTAAGTAAGTGAATAAGTAAGTAAGTAAGTTAGTAAGTAAGTGAATAAGTAAGTAAGTGAGTAAGTAAGTAAGTGATTAAGTAAGTAAGTAAGTTAGTAAGTAAGTGAATAAGTAAGTAAGTAAGTGATTAAGTAAGTAAGTAAGTTAGTAAGTAAGTGAATAAGTAAGTGAGTAAGTAGGTAAGTTAGTAAATAAGTAAGTAAGTAGGTAGGTAATTAAGTAGGTAAGTACATAAGTGAGTAAGTAAGTAAGTGAGTAAGTAAGTAGGTTAGCAGGCTTGTAAGTAGGTTAGTATGTGATTAAGTAGGTAAGTAGGCTTGTAAGTAGGTTAGTAAATAAGTAGGTAATTAGGTAGATAATTAGGTTAGTAAATAAGTAGGTAATTAGGTAGGTAAGTAAGTGAGTTAATAGGTTAGTAAATAAGTAGGTAATTAGGTAGGTAAGTAAGTGAGTTAATAGGTTAGTAAATAAGTAGGGAATTAGGTAGGTAAGTAGGTTAGTAAATAAGTAGGTAATTAGGTAGGTAAGTGAGTAAGTAGGTAAGTAAGTGAGTTAATAGGTAAGTAAATAAGTAGGTAATTAGGTAGGTAAGTGAGTAAGTGCAAGTAACTAGGTAAGTAAGTGTGTAAGTAGGTATATAAAGAGGTAATTAGGGAGGTACGTAAGTGAGTAAGTAGGTTAGTATGTGATTAAGTAGGTAAGTGTGTAAGTAGGTAATTAAGTAGGTAAGTAAGTGAGTAAGTAAGTATGTAAGTAAGTGCGTAAGTAAGTAGGTAAGTAAGTGTGTAAGTAGGTAAGCAAGTGAGTAAGTAAGTGATTAAGTGTGAAAGTAGGTAAGTAAATGAGTAAGTAAGTAGGTAAGTAAGTAAGTAGGTTTAGTAAGTAAGTAAGTAAGTGATTAAATAGGTAAGTAGGTTAGTAAGTGAGTAAGTAAGGAGGTAAGTAGGTAAGTAAGTGAGTAAGTAAGTAGGTAAGTAAGTAAGTGTGTAAATAGGTAAGTAGGTAAGTAAGTGAGTAAGTAAGGAGGTAAGTAGGTAAGTAAGTAGGTAAGTAAGTAAGTGTGTAAATAGGTAAGTAGGTAAGTAAGTGAGTAAGTAAGTAAGTGTGTAAGTAGGTAAGTAAGTAGGTAATTAATAGGGATGCGCCGGATACTCGTTTCAGATGAGTATCTGGTACGGATAAAACATTTTTGACGAATACGAGCATGAAAAGAGTAAAACTCGTAAATATCTGTAATCGTGCTGAAGGAAAATCCTCATTAGGTAACTGACTGTGTTCATGCTCTGTGATTGGCCAGTCACATAGAGCACCCGCCCCTCCCTACACACAAAACTCTGCAGCCGGGAACTCAGTCCCTGTCTGGCCCATCCACGCACACACACATACAGTAATGGATCTCTCTGTTTTCAAGTTTTCTATTTGTTAAAATAAGAATTTTGGTGCGGCTGATGCTACAGTAAGGTCACACAATGTGATAGTGGCTATCACAGAATGTGGCCATCTGCATCTCAGTAATAATGCAGATCTCAGAGTTCAAATGCATTTTTATAAACCACATCATCAGAGAAGTTATTAGAAACAGTTAGTGTGATGTAAACGTCATTAAAACTGAAGTTACAGTAAGGTCACACAATACGATAGTGGCTATCACAGAATGTGACCATCTGCATTTCAGTAATTATGCGGATGTCTTTCATTTTCCCTCAAGATAACAACAACAAAAGGTGTTTTGTGACGTTTGTGTCATTTTATTTCCCTTTTATCTCCACCATGAGTGGCATTGGAGTCACAGGGAAAAAAAATGTAGTAACCAGAAAATCTGCAGTGGTTTCTAATAAACTGAGGATGTGGATCACAACAATTTATTTCAATAAATGGAAGTTCAGAACATTTTACCTGCGGACCTCGCATGTTGTAAAATCTGTTTCATGTTAGGAAACATTTCATGTCAAAGTCCTGCTTATCGCTGCATTTATTGTCCCGTTTGTTTGCAATAAGCATTAACAAACGCTCTTTTTAATATCCATGGTCCGCGCCGTACAACTTCCTCAAAGCTTACGTAGTTTATGGTTTTAGCGTAGCTTCTTCTTCTTTTATGCCAATTCAGGAAGTACAGATGCAACAAAACACACCACTGCCCCCTGGGGTCACAAATTGTGAAGGGTCGCAGAATTTGGTGTAATACCGGACGCGAACTGAGCCGGGAGGCTGCAGAGTTTTGTGTGAAGGGAGGGGCGGGTGCTCGATGTGACGTGCCATTCACAGAGCGTGAAGACAGTCAGTTACCCAATGATGATTTTCCTTCAGCACGATTACAGATATTTACGAGTTTTACTCGTTTCATGCTCGTATTCGTCAAAAATGTTTTATCCGTACCGGATACTCATCCGGCTCATCCCTAGTAACTAATATGTCTAATTATGTCAAAATACAATAAAAATTAACAACTTCCATTGTCTGTGCCACAAATATCCAATTTGTTTAATTTTCAACATTTGCCAACATTTGCTTCACCCTCAGTTTAATGCTTTTGCCTGACAGGTGACAACCAAACACAAATTAAAACCTAAAGATTGATCACAGCTACAACCGATTCAGGTCCAATTTAAGCTGAAGGAAAGCAAGTCTTAATCTGACTGAGGCTCATTTTATCATTAAACCAGCATGAATGGAACTGTTCTTCTCTATTTAGCTTTGCTTTTATTTTACTTAGTCCTCAAAAAGGATCAGAAGAAGGTTATTAGCAGCATGCTACACAATATTCATTTAGTACTGAGGTAATTTTGTGTTTACTGGGTGGAAAAGAATAAAAAACACACTAATGCTTTTACTATTTTAGTGCAGATGTAAAAACATTTTGTTTTTCATTTATATTCTCCTTAATAAAACACAGCACCAAATGCATTTGAAACATGAATATTACACTGATGTACTTTATTGTGATCCAATAAAAGAGATGATATTGTTAGCTACAATTCATTTATAGCAAAATAAATCATTAGCTGTGCTTTCTGGCTGCAAATAATCAATTAAAATAAAATATAACAATGAAAAAAAAAAAGAATATTTACTCTGCAGACATCTTTCTTTCCAAACTACCTGAACTCTTCCTGGTAAACAAAAGCACTAGAGCCGTTTAGACAGCTTGCACAGTCTTTCTTGGGATGAACAGTGTTGGTTTAATGGCAGTTCCAGTCAAACTTCAACTGGAAGACTAATTATTTAGCCTGCAGAGTGCAATGAAAGTGAACTGACAAACTGGTGATGAGAGAGGAGAGATGATGGGCAGATGTGCTTCTGAGGGTAATTGGCTACAGGTGAGTGGAAAAAAGTTTTCATTGAACCAGTCGACCATTGAGAGAGAAGCACGGACAGACGGGAAGAAAGAAACATTAGGAAAAGAGGAGTGGGAGGCTATGCCAGATCCAAACATTACACATATAAAACACATTTGCTTCAAGATTTCATTTTTTATCACACTAATGAGCACATAGCTGAGATATTTTAGTTGGAATTTGGTGGGAAAAGGGAAAACACCTGCATGCATGAAAATGTTAGACACAGAGATCTGCTGTGAGTGGGTGAAGGACATCAGAAAGCACACGTCTCTCTAATCTTTACAACAAGGAATGTTTCTTTGTATTTTTTATTCTGCTTTTGCAAACTGTTCAAAAG